GCCTCTTTTTTTCCGGTCTTCCCGGTCTACCAAGGACCCGGCCTGCCGAGACCGGGGAGTCTGGGTCCTCCGGAGGACCCGGCCTGTCGTTTTGGACACAGCCCAAGATCTTTGCCAATCACGGTTAAGGTAAACTCCGCCCACACCAAGATCTTTGCTAATCACGGTTAAGGTAAACTCCGCCCACACCAAGATCTCCTCCTATCATAGTTAGGGTAAATTCCGCCCACACCAAGATCTCCTCCTATCACAGTTAAAGTAAACTCCGCCCACACCAAGATCTTCGCCTATCACAGTTAAAGTAAACTCCGCCCACACCAAGATCTTCGCCTATCACAGTTAAAGTAAACTCCGCCCACACCAAGATCTCCTCCTATCACAGTTAGGGTAAACTCCGCCCACAGAACATGTACTGCAGAGACACCTACTTGATTAAATGTGGGATTTTAGTAAAATAAACATGTTTTTATTAATATTAATATTATTAAAACAGTTTTGTTTTTATTAATATTATTATAAAATCAGTTTTATTGTCACTCTGCTGCTGTGTTTGCTTCTTTCAAACTGTAGTGTAAAATAAACATAAACAAACAAAAACATTGAGGTAATTTTTCTTCTTTTCATCAGTTTTTTAAAGTGAAGAAGACGTGAAGAACTCACTGTGGTTCACAAAGGCATCAGGAGCGACGAGGTGGTCTTTAGGGGGCTCACCTGGAGACAGAAACAAAKCCAAGTTTTAAAAACTTTTTAAAAACGTTTATTTCACATTTAATGCTGAAGAACTCTGACGTGTGGATTAATTTARATTAAAGTTTGTCAAAAAATTAAATACGGCATGAGGAGTGAAGTCATAAAGAACCTGTGATTAATGCAAAAGTTTTTACTTCCTCAAATCACAGACCTGATGGTAAACAAGGACCTGGTCTCAGATCTAATCAGGACCAGGATCAAGACCAGGATCAGGTTTTGTTTGAAGAACTTTGTTTTCATGGCAACCGACCATCTAAATGAATAGAGGTTTGATTTTTATTAAGTTTGTCCTTCTGAACCCTCCTCAGGTTGGACAACAACATAGACTCATCATGTGACCCCCCCAACCAACACACACACACACACACACACACACACACACACACACACA